GTTTCAATCTGTCCTGATGCCAGACGTTAAAAAGCTACAAAACCTTGTGACATTGAATAACAGTGAGCCAAACAGCTTCAATGCTCTTTGCCTCAAGATACCACTGAATCTCTGTTCTGATATATATATACCTGCAGCCTCCCTGTCCTTCGTTTTGGGAGGTCACTTTCAGAAATCGATCTTTCATCAAAAATCATGTCTTTTAAGCAAAGGAGCGTATTTTTGCAAAGGGGCGTATTTTTACAACTGAAGCACCAAAGAGGCTGACAATTAAACATCATGAGATCCACAGAAGATGTTCTGGTGCCAATTGGAATATAATCGTTGGGATATTCTTGATTGTAGTCCAGTACCAATGCCTGTAACATGTTGGCGATTACAACATTAAAGGATGACCCCTTCAGGATTGTCTCTTTCTAGAGGCATCAGGGGTTCAAGAAAGAGTGAACCGGTCAAACAGGTTGCCATCCCTCCGTCCACGCCCGCAGCAACATTTTCCGGCGGGTGGGGCCGGCTGCCGTGTGGTCCTTTTGGCCCGGTCTGGGCCTTGGCCGGTGTCGTCCAGGGTTTCTTGGCGGTGACATGCTGAACGCTGGAGGAAAGGGTGGGTCCTAAACCTGAACACGCACAACATTGCACAATAAACTGTCTGTGTGCAACGCAACATATTTACTTGGTTGGATTGCTACTGTTGATTGGGTCCTGCTTTTCACTTGCACACATAGTGCCACTATTGTCGCCACTGCTTCTTCTTCAGCTGTAAGTTCTTTCAAGGGTGACCCTCTTTCATCTTTGTCATCTTGGCCTTGCCTATGGCGAGCATCGATGGCCTGGTTGATGAGTGGGACTCGTGCGCCAGTCTCCGAGAACAATTGCGTCAGAAACATGCATTGTTCCTTCCACTTGAAGGGGACCAGTCTGTGGTAGCTACAGTGGCCTGTGCGGAAGTGAATTTCGAAGCTTTGAAGCCTTTGGCAGCCCGTCTCCAACACCCACCTGGAACGGTTGGGATGTTCACCATCCCTGACTTGACAAGAGCGAACCTCTGACTGTGTTCAAACCATTTTTGGGCAAGTCCCTACTAAGTTCAGCAAAAAACTGTAGCTTAAGGTTCAAACATGTTTAAACTGTGCTTTGTTTGGTTTTGTAGCATCCACCCAATACTTATGATCAAAGCATTCTATGCAAAGTTCGACAAGCAAGTCCCATTTCCTAGCAAAAAGGAGTTGAGCAAGCAGGCCAAGGTGGCCAAAGCATTTATGGTGCTATTGAAAAGGAAACTTCAACGAGAGCAAGTTTGCAGAAGCGGCGCATTCCGCACATTGATGTCCCTGGTGTTTAACCATGGTCCTTGTGATGGTGAAGGGAATCCAAAGCTTCAGTTTCAGGATGGGTACTATCCAAGCTGTTCTGATTTTAAGTTTGGGGGGAAAGGACTTGGACTGTTTCTCTTAACTTATTCATTTATCAAATAATCCATGTATCCAGCGCCCTCATTTCTCCCCGAAACCAACACCCTTGAATTTCCAGGAGGATGGTGCCGAAGGACCAGGTGAAGATTTGGAAGAAGTCAAGATTCATGAGGTCGAGTCCGAGGGTGAAGATGAACAGGATGAGGATGAGAATGGTGAGGGTGGTAAGGACGCCATGCCCATTGAGCCACCTGACGTTCAAATGGAAGTGGGTCCTGTGGCGGAAGACAGCCAGTTGGACTTCCCCTTACCCAGTGAGGTTGAGAGCCAGGCCACCTGCTTGTATGGTCAGGGTCAAGGTGGTACTCCGGAGGTCCAGGGTGACATTGCTGAGCATGGGGGATGTGAGGGAGATGGGGCTGAACCTTCACCATCTGAAACTCACTCTCTCATTATCCTAGAGGACACCCCGGAGAAAGGCGAAGTCAATGTGATGGATGAGGATGTGAAAAGGATGGTTGGGAATAGGGAGGAGATTGAAGACAAGATCAGTGAACTTACAGGCAAGTTGGTCAGCGCTCGCAAGCGACGTGCTTCAGAGACCTTTGGCTGGTAATTAGAAAATACAAAAAGTCTAGTTGTTGTGAGAAAGCATTTGCGCTTACAAAAACAAGTTGTGTAAACCCGAGCTTTGAACTTAGGACATGCCTGGTTTTCTGTAATTGTTTCATTGTTCAAGTATGGTCGTAGGAATCGAATTGCGCTGTTGGTCGGTCAGGAAAGCGTCGCTCTCTTTGCGACGGGCTGCTTCTGTACCACACTTGGTTTTGGAGAGCCTCCCTAACCCAGGAGATGCTGGAGAGACGCAGCTGTTGCACAGTTCAGAGATGGAACACTTAGCCATGGAGTTTGCCGAGTATGAGCCTGAACAACTTCCGGAAGCCCCGCTTGCAACTTGTTGGAGACGGCTGTTTTATGATTTCAAGGGGTTCCCAACCTACTGTATGTTGAAACCTTGTTTTTGCTGAACACCATCCAGCCAAAAGCAAGCCCAGGTCTTGCGCCGAGCGCAGCTTCATCTAAAGGCTAGTCTGCTGGAGGATGAGGAGGAAGATTCCAAGGGCAAATCCAAAGCAAAAGGAAGGGGGCGAGGGCGAGGACGAGGGCGGGGGCCAGGCCGCCCAAAAGCCAAGGCGAAGGGAGTGGCCAAGGCCAAAGGAAAGGGCAAGACAACACAGAAGGGCCCCGATGAACATGACAATGAGGGGGGGGATCAGGCTGACGATGAGGCTGAGGAGATGGAGGAGGAGGAGGTCCCCGAAGAATCACCATCGAAGGGACGCCCTGAAAAGGGAGGTTCACTCCCACAGGAAGGTGGTGGAGATGCAAAAGCTCCCAAGACCAAGAAGAAACGTTCAGTCAATGAACAGAAGAGGCAGGAGGAAAGTGGAAAGTCCAGTGCGCCGGTGAAAAAGGCAAAGAAACTGAAAGATCAGGAGGTGACCGAAAAAACAAAGAAGCGTGAGGCGCCTGAGGTGCGTGAGGACAAGAAGGAAGACATTCCCCCCCAGGCTGCTAAGAAACTCCGTGGAGAGGCTTCCACTTTCGCTCGGAGGGTGGAGCCCAAGACAGAAGCTGGCAAATTGAAGTGGCACGCCTTAAAGGATGCGTTTTGCCAGATCATCAAGCCGAAGATCTCTACCTATTCTGTCGCGGAGGCGACTCCAAAGTTCCACTTAAAGCCTGCATTCCACTTAAGCCAGTATTATTGCACTCAAAAAGCATATATAAAGTTTACCCAGCTCTCTATCTTAAACTAGAAGCAGATCGCAAACAACATGTTCTCCTGTTTTGGCATCCCTGTGCCAGTTCGATTGCCATAGATAAAGAAAACTATGACTATACTCTCAATGTGGCACATCTATAAACAATATGCACTCTTTGGATTGGTTCCAACATGCCAACCAGCAAACGATTTCAAATTAAGATGCTAGGCGCAGTTCTGGACCTATGCGAGTGAGAAGTGGGTGAAGGAAGATGTGCAGGCTGACAACATCAAGGACTTGGCACTCTCTGCTGCGGCTGAGTTCCTGGCCCAGCCAAAGAAGAGCTGAGCTGGCCTTCCATTTTGACCTGCATAGCTTCAGCCAGGGGTCTGGCAAACAACTACTTTGAACATTGGTTTACTAGCTTCAGAGTAGTGTTTATTTGTCCACAAGCAACATGCTGAAAAGCTGTGGTTTCTATAGTACCTGGTGATGAGCCAGCCAGTGCTGGGGGTCAGCTATGCTTTCTGGGTACCTAGTTTGGCGAAAGCCTGCAAAATCTGGGTTCCAGTTCAGTCAGCAATATCACAACGATAGGGCAGCAGCCAGCTGACATTGCAGTCGTGTTTGTTTCATCGAGCGAACTCATGTCACCATTCAGTTCAATCATTGATCGATTCCGAGGATTTGACTGCTAGACTTAAAGAGTAACAGCGTGTTTGACCACCATCGTTCATTGTGGTACATGGGACAGGTTGAGGACTGAAGTCAGACGCTGTGCTGCAACATGGTGCGAATCACAAGAGCTGCCATCATGATAGTTGGCCACCGTTGTCGCTGAACATGCTGGAAAATGGGGCCATGTGGATTGCTGACCTCCAACACCACCATGTTGACTTTATGGTTCATGCTGCATGCTCATGTTCCCTCCTCCACTTTGAAGGTTTGGAAACCTTCATCACCATGTTGACTTTATGGTTCATGCTGCATGCTCAGGTTCCCCCCCCTCCTCCACTTTGAAGGTTTGGAAACCTTCATGTTTCAAGCTTGATTTCAGGCGTCCATGCACTCATGCACATGTAGTGCATGTACAACAAACACGCCACAATCAGAGTCAGAGTTGAGTGGCAAATTTAAAGGAAGGACATCACTGTGCCACTGTATCCACCCCAGTGCTTCATTCTCAGTTGCCAATCATTGGGCTGGCTTCTGAGGCCATGGCGGAGGATGAAGCGGTCATTGGTGAGAATGACCTTCGCATTGCCGACATGTTATTTCTGATTTCAGTGCTGGCGCGGCCGCTATCTGCTAAGAGGAATGAGAAGTCAAATTTGGGCCACCATTCATTGTTGCAGGATTGCTTTCTTGCATCTGATAGGATGTGGTTTGTGAGCGAAGGTTCAAAAAGCCTATCCAAAACAAATCAATATCCACAAAGCATGTGACCAGCCGAAAAGCGTTTGCCTCTCCCCTCAGCTCATTCTGGTTTGGGGCCGCGGGCGGGTCGAGCGACAGTGCTTTTCGACGTTCAGTCCGGCAATGGAGCTTATGGAGCCGACAAAACGATGGAAACTCAACATAGTACTGCAACGCCTGTACTTGATAGGGGCGCCAAAAGTTTCTAGGCTGAAAGGAGAGTCCAAACATTGTCAAACCCATCCTAGCCTTCCCTGAGCCAGTCGCTTGCCAGATTCAGATCACCCATGTAGGTTGACAGCCCCAAAAAAATGAAAGTGGCCGCAAGAGTCCTTGTGGCCATGTTCAGTTTTGTGTCCTGCCACGTTTTTGCCATGCCTGGGCCTCCGTGCTATCCAAGGTGCTCATGGCTTGCATCATGCTCCTGGCATTGAACCCAGACACGCCTGTCTTCACCGAGGCGTCTTGGAGTGAATAGGTGACAAAGATGTGCCTCGCAAATCTGCAATCGTCTAAGTAACAATTAGAGTATGACCAACCGTGAAATTAAGCAAGACTCTTGCAAGACTATTTTGCATTCCAGCTGACATCATGAAGGGCGTTTGTATTTCCGGCTTCCCGGCCTGACCTTGTCTGTGCACCCCAGGCCTATGGTTTTCTTGAACTCTTTGCTGGAGAAGGATGGGTAACAAAGCTGATGAAAGTGAATGGAATCCCATCAGCAGCTTTTGACATTGACTATGGGCAGCCATTGGAGGGGAAACAGGATGCTATGAACATTCTGTCTGATCCAGGATTTGCGTTCTTAGTTTGCAAATCAGACTTCTGATCAATTGGATGTTTTGAGCATGCCATGGCACACCCAAAACCGATTGTTCAATCTGGGCCTTCTGCACTAACTGTGCTGGAGTGAGGCTAATCCTCCTCTCGATATTGAACGCAAAGTTCGAGAACTTCCTGGTGGTCATAGGATTGGTGTGCTCGTCATGGGTAACAGTGTCTTCAGGTACACACTACCGCTCACCGTGGTTTCCACTTGGTATTGAAGAACATGGCTTTGTATCGCGCGGGAACCAGATGACGAGCAGGTGCTTGACTGAGCTTATCAGTTGCACCATGATTTTGCATCCCTTATAGAACTTGAGAACGATATGACGTGCGATGTTCGTATGTGTGTGATTGTGTATCACCGTTAACCTAAGCAGGCTTCAAACATATAGCTAACATTATGCTCAAACAGTTCTACACTCAATGAACCAAAAGGGATCTTGCAACTTGCGCTACCCAAATACAGCTCCCAACCCATGCCAGTGTCATCACTCCTTCTGCCAGGGTTGTGCTTCTGATCCTGGCAATCACTGCGATGGGGGGAACGTGGGTGCTGGAGCAGCCACGCTCCAGCAAAGTAATTTGGCATCCCCGGGTTAGATTGCTGTGGAGACTTATTCCTGAGGTGTGGTGTTTCAGTGCATGTTAGCAGCATGGTTTGTATATCAAGCTGCGCCAAGTTGCCAAGTAAAAATTGTGTTCACGGGTGAGATATCTTGAGATTGACTTACCAAATCAAGGTTGGTTTCTATACAAATCTTTTGACCCTGAAGGTATTTGAAGCCAGGTGGTGGGCTTGCATGTATGGAGCTGGAACTGCAAAGCGCCACATCGCTTGGTCAAACAGTAGAACGGTGCAGCTACTGGACTTGGGGAAAATGATCAAGGCGTTGCACGCCAAGAAAGCTTTCAACTCCACCCGGAAATATAAAAGCCGGACGGGCAAAGTTTCATGGTGCGGCTCTGCACTTCTCAAGTCTACACAGACTCCTGCAATGCTTGGCTGGTGGTTTTATATGTCCCAAAAAGATCCAAGAGCCAGAAATCCCAAAAGTTTCCAAGACCGTGGTTCCTTTAAGAGCTTTAGGGTGCTTCTTGAGACATCTCACATCTCTATTGATTGTTTGGGCAACTGCCCCCCTCCGGTCCTTGAGCAACCAACCCCATGAACAGCTGTCTTTCTAATCCACAGATGTCCACTTCCAACTGAACCCATACCCAATGGATCACCCATCGCCCATGCCAATGTTTAACTTACCAACATGCCTGTGCCCTTGAATGTACTAGACTATATACTAACAAACTATTTATACTATTAATGTTCTATTCCAATGAAGAACGACATGACAGCCATATGCACATAAGTTTCTGTAGCACTGATTTTAAAAGAACGGATTTGGTGGATGTTTGTCAGTGGTTGACTTGTTCCCCCTCTTGCCCGGCAATTGCTGAGGACCTATCCGCCGAGATTTGGTATGAAGCTGGCAAAACTACACAGCCGCTTCTGCACCAAAAGGTCATTGGATTTTGGGACCCACATTGAAGCAAACAATGTGGACTTGGGGATCCACTTGTTTGAGACCTTGGATTGGGCGCTCACTGATTGGTGGTGTGATGCCAATATGAAGGCAGTGTTCTTCTACCTTCGCGGAGCGAAAGGATTATATCTTGGGGAGCAAAGGCACCTATTTCCCAAGACAGTTTAATTGGTTTCAAAACTACAGCTGTGGCTCCCAACAACCTTCAAGCAATCAATCTGTTCAAGCAATATTGATCACAATGATTGTTCATAGCTTTGCCAACATACCGACATCCCATTTCAAGACCAATGATGAAATTGTAGACGAGGTGTTGGTGCCACTAGCTCCAACGATGAACCAGGTTGCACTTTTCAGTTGTTGATCATTACAACTGGTGTTGCCTCAGTTCAACTTACTGCAGGCAAGGCTTGGATCTGTGGACATCCCAACGGCAGGCTTGAAAGATAGTTGTTTGGGGATTGTTTTGGCTGTCATGTATGTTTGACCAGGATTCTGGTCCATACCAAATGCTTTCAGCGGCATTCACCTCAACGCAACCTTTTTTGACTGTTTCTCAACTATATTTCAATTGAAAACATATGCATTTCAGCTTGGAAAGGAGAAAACCACCAGAATACGTATTATATACGGATAAAGTACGTACCGGACCCGTACCCCAACCCGTACCCGTACAAGGGGCGTGTTTTTGCGTACAAGGGACGTATTTTTCCGTACTAGAATACGTACTATTTCCGTATTTTGGCTATATCTGGACTTGTGTGGTTTATAGCGTTTTTGGTGAGGTATTCCCAATGCCAGGTTGTTCTTGAATCGATATCGAACTGCTTTAACATAATTAGGGTTGTACTTCATTAATAACAATCAAAAATCCAGTCACCCACTGTCATTCCGGTGCCTCCAGAAGGATTCGGCTCTGGTTCCATCCAACGCTTGACCTGCGCGCGTGTCGATCATGGGCAGATCCGATGGAGACCCCAAAGGTAAGCAGCAGGTTAGGTCTAGACAATGGAGCTGTTCAGAGCTAAAGGATGGGCACCAGAAACTCCTTGCTGTGAAGACTGAATCCGCCGGAAAAGCCCAAGTTGATTTGGAGATTGAGGAGACTGGGGGATCAAATTAGAAGGAGTGTTGTCAAGTGAACTTTTACCACTCAGCACCTGTAATGGAAATATCCCTCCCAGTTCGAGATAGTTCACCTGCAGGAGTATGAGCGAAAGCTTGAACAACTCAAGGCGGCGAAGGCAGCCACTGATGCTTCTGACTCTAGCCTCGCATGTTGAACCCTGATCGTGAACCAATGTTTTTTGCATTCAGTGAATCAAGCAAAAACTTATGTTATATGCTCCTTCAGACCCTTAAGGAAGCGGAAACACAACCAGCATCTTGGCTAATGAAACACGAGTTCAATGCGCATAGGGCATCGCACCCTTATAACAATGTTGGGTTTGTCTTTCTTGATTTTGGGAACATGTGCCGTCAAGTTCAAAGTCCAATCAACATAAGGCGACCGAACAAGAGCTTCGAAAGTCGAGAGCAAAACCATCGGGACCAACTTCGGCCAAGTCCAAAGCGAGACCACCTCCACCTGAGAAACATCTTCGCAGCCCACAGAAGAAGGATCAGGCGTCACCGAATCCTAATGCACCAAAGCGGGCCCGAGGCAAGCAGCCCGAGCAGGACCCGAAGAAAGAGCTGGATGAGCTCCGAAAGGTGTGTGTATTGCCAACAGGTTGTTTTGTTTCAATATGGTTTGATCTATATAAGTCTCAACCACTTCATCAAGGGCTGGTGTCACCCTGAAAGGCCAACCAACGTATGCAGGAGGAATTGGAGAAACTCAAGGCCCCCAGCTCGAGCTCCAAGAACCCATACGAGACTCCACCGCCCAAGGTCCCAGCCCCGTCTCTGGGGCCGAAGGCCAAGGTCTTGCCTCCACCAGAGCTCAAGCCCCCGGAGACTGAAGGAGCACGCCTCAACCGGTTGAGGCGGCTATGCGAGAAGAAGCCGAGTGGGAAATGCAACGTCCCAGAGGCGATCCACTTGCGATGGAAGAATTCCACCAGGGACGAGAAAGAAGCAATGATTGAAGAACTTGAGAAAAGTGGATGGTCCAAGGATAACCAGGGTTGACTTGACTGTCTTTTTCTATTGAAAGAGGGCTATATGCACATTGCTACATTTTACTCCCTTGTCAACAGTTAGTGGATACCCCAATCATTGACCCCAGGAGATTTTCATCAGCAAAATGACCAAGACCTTGTCCAAATCCAACAAGCTCACCAAGTCCAAAAAGCGTGGTTGGTTCACCAAAGAAGCCATGGCCCGTGTGCTGAACTGGAGTGCGTCCTTTGTCCCAAACACTTGTGTTGCTAGGTTTCAATTTGAAGAGTTACAACTGGGAGTGGCCGCGCAATCCAACCTATCCCATCCAAGGTCCTACATTAAGAGCGTGGTGGAATATTGCGAGAAGCCTGGCAACGTTGATCGACTTGTGAAGAACCTTTCTTGCACTTGGTTGCAAAAATCTGTTGAGACCTGATCTCTTTCACGGGGTGACCTGACTTTTGCGGGTTTGTTTGGGGGGACCCACAACACACATATGTTGGGCTTGGTGCAAGAATTAGGACACAGCACACTGTGTTGGAATGCGAGGAATGACCGGTACAACAAAAAGCTCAAGAAGTACTATGTTGTCTATGAGGAAGGTGACGAAGAGGTGTCTGAAGATGAGGAGCGTGTTGACCACGTCGACCAGGAAGTTTCTTGTTAATTCTGGGGCCCATGCATTGTTCTGTGAACCCATTCTTCAAGCTTCAAGCGCCTGCTCGAACCTTAGGTTGCTGATGACAATGTCGAGTTCAGTAGGCTGGGTCGAACCAGGGCAGCTTCCGAGAGTGACGCTGACATGTCCGAGAAGGAGGGCAAGGCGAAGCAGGTCAACACACCCAAGCAGGAACATCACTGAGGGTTGTCAGTAAATAAGTATCTATGCAACATTATTCAATGATTTACCTAAAATACAATATGAGATTCAATCCAGTTGCAACTTCTGTAATGTATCGGCGCCCCTGAAACCTCGTACACGGCCGTACACGTCTCCAGGAGTTTGACAAGTTCAGCACGTTCGCCAACAGCCTGCTCTCTAGAACCTCTAAGCTCACAGATTTGTGCCAGCAGTTGGAGTCCGCATTGGAAGAAGCTAAGAAATCTCCTGAAAGCCCCGAGGGAAAACGTGTCTCCAAGTTTTTTGGCCGGGATTATGTTCATGCATGTTCATGTAACAAAACCTCGAAACAAATACACCTGTGGGTTTTGCGCCACTGTCCAATCACCCCACCCATCATCCCGAGCAGCCAGCTCAGGTCCGTGGAGAACTTGGAGGCCGCGTGCAAAACCTTGGAGGATCAGTACGAGCAGTGCGAACAGGTCAAGCTGGATGTTGGAGCCCTTCATGACAATGACATTGCTGACCCTCTTGCAAAAGAGTTCCTCATCTTCTATGGACTCAAGTTCAAGTTTCCAAGACAGGTCAAGAGGACACAAAACTGAAGCAGACGGTAAGGATCCTTACCGTCTGTATCAATTTTGTGTCCGCTTGACTTTTGTTGGTTTTGTAGGATTCATCCACGAAAGACCTATTCAGGCTTCCTTCTTTGCTTAATGTGTGCTTTTTGATTTGAAATTATGTTTGACCCCAGGCTCTTGAAGAAGATTGACTCTCAAATGCGTAAAACTACTGGGGCGCGCCTTGTTCGCAAAGTTTGGCATGTGATGCTCCAGCAACCACCTGCCAAAAACATGCAGTGTGGTTTGGTAAAGGTGCAGCAAAGTCACCACTGCTGAAGTCGCAGCAAAGTGCCGTGGCTGCACCCATCGATATCAATCAAGTGTGTTGCCTAGTGAAGTATGGAACAAACATGCTTTCAAGGCCATTGCACTCATGCATGAAGATTGGTTGGAAAAGAATGCGTTCTCGTTCCTAGGAACCTTCTGAAGAATCTTCGACGGCCAGCATCTTCAAGCTGATGGGTGAATCTGAATGATTCATTTGGGGAGGTCCACATGGTGCCTCAAGGTCCTTAGGGTTCACTTCTAACTAGTGGCCATGGATCAATTTTGAGAATGTTGGCATTGGGCCACTTTGGCTGACTCGAAACATGTGTTTTGAATGGTCAACACGTGAAGAGTCGCCTGGCTGCCAATATTGGCATTGATGATTATCGCCTGAAGCGGCATGTGATGAAAGCTTTCTCGGATCAAAAGATGGGAAAAACCAGCGGCTTTCAGTGTTAGTTCAGCTCTCTAGCTATTATGTGGCATGCGTGGTGTCAATGCAGAACACCATAAAGCACCCCTTTGTCCACACCCATCCACACCCATACATGCATGCATCAGCATGCATGGCCACTGTTGCCTACTGTTGACAGCTCGGGCCAGGTGGTGACCCTGATCAAGTGGTGCGACACTGTGCGCGCCTGATAGCAAATGGTGTCGGGCTGCTCAGTTGAGGCCTCTCAAGGGAACGTTGGTCTGTTTGGTGGGCAAGTAGGTTGGGGCTGGGGTCTTGTTTCACAAGGTTTGATGCGCAGCTGTAGTGTTCATTCGTGGTATGGTATTTCACCTATACTTTTAATGTATCGACTGGACAATGCAATCAAGAACCCACACTAGACCAATGTTAGTTCTAGTACAGGCTTGATTCCCTGACCCGTCCCATGGCGGATGCTGATGATGATGATGATGATGATTTTCTTTTGGAGCTGCTGATGCACAAGAAGTCTAATGCTGACAGTGCAATGCCTACTCACACTGCTGCCCTGTGTTCCAAGTGTCTTGGCCTAAAACAAATCATCAAACCAACGCTCAGATTTGGTTCTTCATTGATTACCACAAGTCGTGACTCTTAGGCCAACTGACACTGAACCTGTTCGAGCTGCAGTCACACCCAATGGGTTCAACTCTGATCACGAACTTGATGACTTACATATGGACTATTTTCAGCGTGATCAGCATGTGTGTGCACAACCCCCACAGCTCATGCCTCCACCAAAGAAGCGGCAGCTGCAAAGGACCATCGAAGCATCTCAGCGAACAATGTGATAGTGTGGACAATCTTGGATTGATGTGCATTTTTGAACAAACAGTTACCTTCTACAACTGCCACGTGAGGAACCGCAACCTACGCATCGCAAGATTGATCCTTCTGAAGGGGTAGTGGAGAAACTTCTCACCAAAACCAATCCCACATGTGGGGTGCTCCTGGAGCATTGTAAAGACATGGTCACATGCTTTCGTGAGAAGTTGGGCGTCAGGCTTGCTATATTTAAGGTTGGGGTGACATCGGACCCTTGTACAAGGTTTATATCTTATGAACAACTAGGGTTCACATCAATGTGGGTTATAGCAAAGTCTGACAGCGTTGACCTCGTGCATATGGCTGAAGCTGCACTGGTATCACACTACCATATGCATGTGGGCTGCCGGAATCAAAAGGGCACGGGGGGGGACGGAGCCCTCAACAGAAGGGAGCCTCCCCCACCTCCATACTACGTCTACGTAACCGGGGGAAGAGCTGATCAGATGCGCCGAGTTGGATGAACGCTGACAATGGGCTTTTGGGGAAAAATCCTTGCTGCCTTTTTTTTTGGGAAGCAGTTCTCCACACACTTGAACGAGTCTAGAGCCATCTAGAATCTTTTGAGCTTGTGATGAATTGTTCAGTCGTTGTGCATTCTCGCATTTTTTGTGACCCACTGACCCACTACTTATTTACCTAGCCCCACTGATCACAGTGTTTGCGATTGATTCGATTTGCCGAGGCCCCTTGCAAACACGTGGTGCAGTTGGCCAAAGCAGAGGTGCGAAGGAATCCTGCTGCCAGTCCAACTTTGAGGGCATTTTCAAGGGTCCGTGAGAAAGATGCAGAAAACGGAGTTCACAGAGTCTTGAGGGAAGCTGGCTTCTCCGCGCCAGTGAACATTGATGTAGTCGACCTAGGGGTTGGAAGGTACAACAACTTTCCCATCATCAAGTTTTCTTCATGGGCCCAACTTCTTTTGGATACCGACAGGTTTTCACGCCTGCTTGTTGGAGTGCCCACCATTCAGAAAATGAAAGCAGTTCTGGCAGAGTTTTGGAGGAGGTTTCGCGACTTGCATCCAGATCATGGAATCTATGATCTGGCAGATCAGGGCACAATCCAGTTGGAAACCACAGTTCCTTTCTATTCGCACAGCGATGAAGGACGTTCCTTCAAGCATCTACCATTGTGGGTCCTCTCGGCCCACGGCGCGATTGGCAGAGGTACTAAGCTGTACCTTGAAGATCGCAAGTATTTGGCGCCCTTGAGGCGCAACAGCATGGGGCTCAATTTTGTTGGGAAGACGTGGACCACGAACTACATGTTTGGGGCAGTGTTGAAAACGGTTCAACTTGAATGTCCGTGGGCAATTCCTACATTGGTGAAAGCCTTCGCAGAGGATGTGGAGATGTTGTTGCGCACAGGAATTGTGTCCAAGGATGGCCTAACTCAGATTTGGATGGCTCACATTGGCCACAAAGGTGACCTGCCAGCGTTGGTGGATATGGGCGGCTTTCGCCGCAGCTACCGGAATGTAGCCAGGGGCGCAGTGTCCCGGAAAGCATGTGCAGGTGTGTGTCACTTGTGCCTGGCAGGGCGTGAACTTGATGTTGCTCGTGGCCATGCAGCTCACCCTTTCGAAGATGTCAATCCAAGCGCATCATGGGTGGGAACAATAGGTGTGGAACCACCATGGGAGGGCGAGCTCCCAAACATTCTCCGAGGAGTGCCCGTGACAGGTCCAGAGCAGGTGCGTTTCTTCGTGACTGATTTGTGGCACAATCTGCACATGGGGCTGGCAAAACATTTCTTGGCCTGCTCATTTGTGTGTATCATTGAATCAAATCTTGAAGGAATGCCTCCCGGAAGTGTTGAGAACAAGTTCACATGGTTGACATCTATTTACCGAAGCTACTTCCAATCCAAGAACACTAGTCCGTTTGTGAATGAGATCTCCAGGGACACCCTCAACTTTCCTGCCTCGACAGCATCCCCCATTGGGAAGTGGTCAAAGGGTGCAGCAAGTACCGAGATGATGATGTTTCTGGACTTCTTTGGCCGGAATTACATTGAAAACAAATCGGACGATGAGCTTCTTTGTGCCATTGTTTCTCAATCTGAATTAGATAGTGTTGGTTCATGAAAGTTTTTGTGTAAGGTCTTGGGTCCAAACCTCAATCCAAGTAGATGACTTTAAAGCTTTAACAACCTTTGTGGGAATCCATGCGTTTGGTCTGAGGCTTCAGGAGTTCGGGTATTGAATGTGTGTATGTCAGCTCTCTACCACTCCGGTTATTGGATCAAGAAGGACAAGGCGCTCCAAATGTCTGGCATGATCTATCGGTTTCTGGCGATGTACGCCAAGTGCGCTCAGTTGACAGTGGCCCAGGGAAAGCGGAGGTTCCCTATGGTCCCCAAGATTCACATGATTGCGCACTGCGCTCAAGATCTTCGTTCTCAATCGTCTTTGGGGGATTGGGTGCACAATCCCCTATCGGCTACAAACCAAATACAGGAGGATTTCATTGGACGTCCTTCTAGAATCAGCCGCCGTGTTTGCATTCGTTCCTTGCACACCAGTTTGATCAAAAGGGCATTGATCATGTACCAAGACTGCTTAAAGAGTTCAGACTTGGACAAAAGGGGCATGGATGGGTACCCTGATGTGTGACAACATGTCCTGACTAGTTCCTGACTTGCATTATGACCAACCTGTTCCATGTTTCCAGTTTGAGGAGGCCCGTCCAGTGCCCTCAGCACCGGCTTAGCAGCCAAGTGGCACAAACGCTGGCAAAGGCGAAGCGCCGTGGAGAAAACGGCAATGGAATCCGTGAATGGGATTGGATGGTGAGGGAAACTATGGATGGGCTCGGATGGGTTGAATGGGAGTCAAGAAGGTGTTTATACAATTCTGATGTTTTACCACCTTCAAGGTGTACTATGTTGTGTTGAAATGAGGTTCTGAACAACAATGGATAACTTTCTTAAGACCCTCAAATTTGGAAGGGGCGTGTTTTTGACAAAGGGCCGTATTTTGAACATCCGCACATTCAGATGTCCATTCTGTGAACCTTTAAGCAAAAGAGGGGTCGAAGCGGCCCCAGGTATATATGTGCAGATATACCGTTGAGTGATTGAGGAGCTACTCCTGCAGATCATGGGATCAATGTCCCTCAAAGCTCCTTCTCCTTCTGGACCTCACGAGTCCGTCGAACAGATTCAGATCGGACCATGGGAGGATGATCACACCTGAAAAAATAGACTAATGACACACCTTGGGGGCAGGGACATGCACACACCAAACCAAAACAATTATGGGAGGATTGATTATTGTTCTTGAGATTGTTTGTTGAAGGATGTTGAAGGTGTGCTTGTTGAACGGGCTGCCTATAGTTGATGTTAGTTGTACTCAACGAGCTTCCTTGTCATGCCCGGATTTTGGATAAATTGTATGTTGTTCTAGGTTGTGCGTGAGTGGAAATGCAGAAAGTGATGCTCCAATTGAACATGGATAATAAGTGGTTTTGCTGTTGAAATATTATAGGGGGCTTGAGATGATTGCGGTGAAACAGTCCAAGTCAATTGAAAAGCTGCAAATCTGTGGCAATCCCAGGACTTGTATCTCAAGAACATGCTAGTCCTACTGCTAGTCCTCCTGGTTCTTCCGGTTCGTGACTGCACTGCTAGTCCTCCTGGTTTTGTTCGGTCACACAAGCACGGGCCGGCCTGAAAGTCACGTCACCTCCCAAGCTCGGTCGGTTGGATTTAACACGAGAAGAACGGGTCAGGAATCAATTCCCCCGTTTGGGCTCCTGGCCTACCTCCGTTTCGAAGATGGTTGTGGTGGGTGCCAGGGGGGTCGAATACCACCGAACCTGAGGATATGGGCCAGGAGCCCTAGAGTCCATACCCCTCCTGGTTCTTCCAAACGTCAACAAGGATGGGTCATGTAGGTCACATGGATGGGGTGGCGCGAAAAACAACGTCGGGTTGAAAGTTTTTATGCAACTCTTCCGGTCCCAGTCCTCGTTTGGTGCGTTCGCAGTTGATGCTCCCTTCACCTTGGCCGGGAAGAGTGCCTTGGCAGTTCTTTCGGGTCATTGGCAGATCTGAAAAGACACGAGAGATCAGCTACCAGAACTTCATAGAACTTCCATGTGTTGCATTTTATGATTTGTTATACTCTTGTGTGTGTGTGTGTTTGTGTTTTGTTTCGTGTCTATTTACTGGCGGCATGGAATTACCCTTCAGTTTCTGCATCACTGGCGCTTTCAGATTTCGGTGATTGCTTTCATCACCAGCACAAGTCCAAGTTGCCACTGTTAAAGGAAGACTTTCCTTGGAACACCGCCTGAAATCATCAGGATTTTTCACCACGACTCCTTTTTCAGATAGTTAAATGATTGGGCGCTGAAAGGGAAGACTATCATCCAAAGACCAAACAGGATGTATTTGTTTTGTCAAATTTGCAGGGATGTTTGATATAGAGATCACTTTGCAGTTGAACATCGAGATGGCATCTAGCTGTTAGCCAGGCATAGCCAGGCTTGATGTGCGTTCCAAGCCAGGTGATGTACAATGTTGAATCTATACCGTGGCACAGGCCAGGATGGGTTGTTCAACATCAGATGTTTTTTTAACAAAGCCACACGCCTTGTTGCATCCTTTTGTCCTTTTCAACCTTGGGCAAAAAGGCGGGGGCGCTCGTTTTTCCCTCACCGGGGGCGGGCTTCTGGGAGGTTCATTCAGCGTATGTACCTCCTTCGTGCTAACAGTACCGGTTGGTGGTACCGAAAAGATCATGGGACATTGACATGGCCTTATAAAGCAGGTAGATGTGTACACCATTTTCCCGAAATATGTACCGAGACTCCAGGTATTTACTTCTTGGTCATTGATCGCTTCGCGCGGAGCGGTGAGCTCGCCGAAGACTACACCTACTGCAAGAAGCGGACGCTTGGAGTGGTTGATGGAGATGGGACGATGGCAAAGTTCGGGGAAGAACAATACAAGGCCCTAAAAGCTATTAGGAACAAGTGCCTTACTACTAGTAACAAGTGCATCGCTAGTAGTAACAAGAAGCTATTAATTTAAGTTTAATTCTAACAGCTTCTTGTTACTACTAGTAAGGCACTTGTTACTACTAGCGATGCACCTGTTACTAGGGGCCCTAAAGAATCTAAGAATCAAAGGTGCAGGTTTTGAGTGACCAAACCCCTGCCTTAGGAAGGTTCAAGGATGCTTGTGGGAATGAAGGTATACTATTTACAGACGGATATGATTATTAAGTCTGGGGAATAATCAAGTTGGCATGTGTACATGTTCGTTTAAATAGACATGAAAAAAACATGGTGCCGTTCATCCATGCTACTTTAAAATACCTTTGAAATATGGCAGATGTTCTTGATTTTTGCACCATTCTATCTTATCTAAGCTTTCTAGATGGCAAAACAAGCTTGTTACGGCAAGTTGCACAACAACTTTTGCATGTCACACCTTGCCCAAAGCTTTGTGTTGACCCTTTCTTATGGGGCTATATAATACTTGTCAGGCGGTGTCAAGGGTGCGAAAGAATCAAAGTAAAGGGCATCATACAGGTTTTGAACGGGGTCGGGGTCCGAAACCATGATCGATCCGACTCTTTCGAAACAGAAACAACCATGCCTCGAACGAGGACGAACAAACAGGAAAGCGAGGGAGGTTGAGTTGTCATGGGGAAAAACGTTTAGATCTTTGGGGGCAGACAGGCGAGAGTGAGAAGGGTGGCGAAACGAGACGGGGAAAACGTGGTTTTGTTGGCACCAATAGGCCGCTGAAACCCACATGACAAGCAACACTCTGCTCAGACTCAAGTCCTGCCCAAAATGACGATCCACCATGAGACCGACCAGCAGTCGCAAGTTTGAACTTTGAGAAAATGGACCCGGCATGAAATGAGCTTGAAATCTCAGCTGGAGGAAGCCTCGAAAGTCAGGGAGGTTGCTTGTGGCATGCAAAATCCTCCATGATGGGCGCCAGCCCACTCTTTCTGACCTGCCCTTATAACTTCTCTGAGCCAGCGTGAGGAAAGCGACCCGGTAGAAGTTCCGCACTCATGGTCATTTCCTCACTGAGCATTTGGATGTGGCATACTGTATACCTCTTGACTGAAGTAGTTTGGATCGAATGGACGTCAACTGCTCAGCTGGCCTCCCTGACATGTGGAATCCGCCGTGTTTTCCAACTCCCTGTTCTTCAACTTCGTCCTCGCACTTGGGCTTGGCGTCCCTGTATGCACTCCACCCTCCACTGCAGCTGGCGCAAGAAATCAGGGATTTGCCTTTGAAGCGCTCGTTCGGTTCCCCCTCCGACCATGTCCTGGCCACCGATCTGCACATCAAAACGACTCATCACGTTCACTTCCCTCGTCGTTCAAGGGTACCGTGGTACACGCACGGCTGGTACATGGCTGGGCAAGTGGGGTGAACTGGGACAGCTCGAGCAGAGTTTGAGTTCGTTGAGGGCACGAGTTCATCCATGTTGCCCACGTTCATCACGGGTGATCGATTTTTGTTCTTAGGGAAACACATGGTAAGAATGCTCCGGACAGATGATGTCCAAAAAACAAAGTCATTACTCTGGGGTCAGAAAACTTGGCTCAGGTTTTTGTAATGCGCCATTTATTGTGTAGGGAAAAACACCTCTGGAACAAAAAAACAGCCGCAGATGGCGCAAGCCATGTTAGGCGAAAAACCGTGACAATGAATGGGAAACTACTAGTCGGGGATGGGTTTGGCGCCATCTACTTTTACAATCCGTTTCGTGAAAGACCGCTATAAACTGTTTGGCCCTGAAAGCAGCAAGCACGACATTAGATGGCGCAAGCCACCTTTCCAATGATGTGATTTGAGTGGTTTCTGTGAAATGATGTTTTTTTTGGTGAGAGCGGTGTTGCAAAGAAAATCGGCCAGAGGAAGCCCATGAAAGCACCATAGATGGCACAAGTGGCAAACTATCTAAGAATTAACTAGCTACTTTTTGGGGCACTTTTCTCCTCTCCCCCTGTCTCTGTGTCTATTCCCTGTCTCGGGCCGAGAGGTCGGAACGGGTTCGACCTCTTCGGAACCGGGGGGAGACCGGTGAGCGAGGAAGCCATGCAGGAAGGACCGTCTCCGACACAGCACCTCCACGGCAAACGATCTGGTCCACCGGTCTCCCCCGTAAAGGGAATAGACACAGAGACAGGGGGAGAGGAGAAAAGTGCTCAAAAAGTAGCTAGCTAATTTTTAATGTTTAGTTATTTTCCTGGTCATATTCCTTCAGTTCCTGTCTTCCATTGATGTTTCAAGAGTTTTGAGGCCATTTCTTAAAATTTAAGGTTTTTGGAAAACATGTTTTTTATATGTTATTGAAAATTTGATTATAGATTAATCATTCTTGATCAGAATAGGTAAGATTTTAGGCAATTGAACAATTTCAAGAGAAGTTAATATGATTCTTGTTTTGGAAACAAGATCATCGACATCACAAGCATCTCAAGCATCACCAGCATCGTGATCACCATAAACAACAAGAACAGCACTGGCACAAAATGACTCAGTAGATGGCGCAACCCTTGTGTGAAAGAAGATAATGATGGTGGAATGCCATTTATTATGCTTGAGGATGCATAGGTA